TCGGTGACTTTTTTTTTTTTTTTTGGTTAACCTTTCCATGGGTATACAAGGAAATAGGTAATTATAGATTTTAAATATAAATATAAATACAGGTATAGATGGAGAGAAAGTAGAGAGATGCTATTGTACTCATTTTCAAAAAGAATAGTCTCTTCAACAAATGGTGTTGGAAAATTGGATATCCACATGCAAAAAAATGAAATTGGACCTCTTCCTTACACAGTACACAAAAATCAACTCAAAATGGATTCAGGTCTTACGTTTAAGTATTTAAACTATAAAACTCCTAGAAGAAAACATGGGCGAAAGCTTCCTGACATTGGTCTTGGCAATGATCTTTTGGATATGACACTGAAAGCGTAGGCAACAAAGCAAAAATAGACAAGTGGGACTACACAAAACTAAAAAGTTTCTGCACAGAAAAAGAAACAACAGAATGAAAAGGCAACCTATAGCATGGGAGAAAATGTGCCAATCGTCTGTGTGATTATGGGTTGATATCCAAAATATATAAAGAACTCCTACAATTCAATAGCAAAAAAAGACAAATAACCTGATTAAGAAATGGGCAAAGGACTTGAACAGACATTTCTCCAAAGAAGACATACAAATGGCCAATAAGTACATAAAAAGATGCTCAACATCATTAATTATCAGGGAAATGCAAATCAAAGCTAAAACGAGATATCACCTCACACCTGTTAGGATGTTTGTTATCAAAAAGACATGAAATAAGTGTTGGTGAGGATGTGGAAAAATTGGAACCCTTGTACACTATTGGTGGGAATGTAAAATGGTGCAGCGACTATGGAAAACAGTATGGAGGTTCCTCAAAAAAATTAACAATATAACTACCATATGACCCAGTAGTCCTGCTTGTGGGTACTTATTCCAAAAGAATTGAAATCGGAATCTTGAAGAGATAGCTGCATTCCTGTGTTCTTTGTAATATTATTCACAATAGCCAAGATGTGAAAAAATCCATGTGTCCATCAACAGATGAATGGATAAAAAGAATATGTGGTATGTACATATGGCCTTAAAAAAGAAGAAAATCCTGCCATTTGTAACAACATGGATGAATATAGAGGACATCATGCTAAGTGAAATAGAGCTCACAGAAGGACAAATACTGCGATTCCACTTATATGAGGTATTTAACATAGTCAAACTCACAGATACAGAGAATAGAATAGTGGTTGCCAGGGGCCGGAGGCTGGGGGAAATGGGGAGTTGTTATTCAATGGGTATAAAGTTTTAAGTTATGCTAGATGTATAAATTCTGGAGATCTGCTGTACAACATAGTGCTTACAGTTAACAATATAATATTTTACACTTCAAAATTTATTGAGAAGGTAGATCTCATGTTAAGTTTTCTTACCAGAAAACCCTGTAGAGACACAAGGAAACTTTGGGAAGAGTTGGCTATGTTTATTACCTTGATTGTGGTGATGATATCATGGATGTATGCATATGCCCAAACTCATCAACTTGTACACATGAAATATGTGCAGTTCTTTGTATATCAGTTATCCCTCAATAAAGCTATTAAAAAAACCAACATATTGTCCAGCATATGTATGCATCTGATGATCAATGACTATTTTATTGTAAGCAAAGAAATTATAGTATCAGATTTGCAGAATACAAAGTCACTGTAATTACAATGTAAATAATGAGTTTTAGGGGGGGCTATGACTAAAGGAAGAAAATTCAGTTAGAAGGTTGTTTTAGTAGTTCAGGTAAGACTAAACTTAGATTCCTGGCTTGGGCAACAGGGAAGCTAGTATACCCTTTCACCAAGAAAAAAACCAGTAGGAGGGGAAGATTTCTCTTGGAAGATGATGAGATCAGCTTGGAGCAATCTGACTATGATATGCCTATTACATAGCCATATAGAGATCATCCATATAGAGATGGCTGAGTAGTTCTGAAAGTCTCGATCTGGCTAAATGAATTTGGGAATGATCATAGAGAAGATGGTTCCTGAAGCTTGGGGTAGTAAATATACCTGTGGAAAGTATTTCAGTTTACTCTGTGTAGACATACCAATGTATACATATTACACAATGTTAATTGCAAGCCATGATAAAGAACTGTGGTTTTAATTACTAATAATAAGATGAAACATAATTTGCAAGCTACTTGTATATAATGGTAGCTTTAATAAATACAGTGATGAAGGTCATCAGTGTATTTTATGTCATATGGTTTAGTTCAGTTTACTTAAATCTTTGTCGAACAGCTTTTACAACTTGTGTTGCTATCATTAAGTGGTGGTATTACAAAGAAAAAAATATCACTTTGAGAAGAACTGCACTTAAAACTGTTTTAAACCAGGAATTTATAGTATCAGGTTTGCAGAATACAAAAATCAACTTAATTGCAATGTAAATAATGGGTTTTAGGGGAATAAGACTAGAGGGAAAAAGTGTAGTTAGAAGGGTGTTTTGAATGGTTTTAAGAGGAGGACTGATATGTTCAGGTTTAAATTTTAGATAGGATACTCTGCAGTAAGGTAGTTGAAGTTGTTGGGAAAGAGGGAGAATCCCCCTCCGCCCTTTCGCTTAAGGTTCTTATGGCTGGCCAAATAATGAAAACACTGGTTAGCAGGAGAAAATAATAGCAAGTTTAATAACATGTATACATGGGAGAAACCAGGGAAACTGAGTTTCTCAACAAAATGGCAGAGATTGTCTTTAGCTTTAAATACTACCTTCAGCTAAAGACAAAGGAGGATATTGGGGGTGGGGGGTTTGGGATTTCAGAGGGGAAAAAGACAATTTAGATGGAGAGGGAAATGTAAATGTTTGTCAGACAGTTCTTTGCAGGGCCACCTAGAGAATCTGGCCAGAGGGACAGAAATTATAGTAATCAAGAGTTTGTAGATTTAAGTCCTCTTCTTCCTTTTCCAGAGATAAGGTCATCCCCCTGCCTCTTTACAGAGGGAGATACCTTTACAAATGTAAATGTTTGGTAAACAGAACTTTGATAAGAATGGGCTTAGGGAGGACCCTGCCAATCTGTCCATACCCAGAGTTAAATTCCTTTAGGCAGTTAGTGGGGGAGGTCAAATGTCCATCAGAGAAAATAATCAAGGTAAAGAGATATATTTCAGGGTGACTAATTTTGATCTCTCACAAAGTCAAAGATGACAAGTCTGGATGTGAAGACAAGAACTAGGGGATTATTTTAATAATAATAATACTGCTAGGGTAAAGTTATGAAGAAATATGTTGAAAACAGAATCAGGTCTTAAGTTATTGAATTTATTAGGTGTAAAACAAAATCTACAAAGATCACAACCGGTTTCTTACTTGGGTATCTAAGGAATGGTGGTGCATTTAGTGCAAGATGAAATAAAGTGTAGCCCATAGTAAAAATAAAACAAAAAAACTTGGGAGTTTAGTTTTTTGATTTCTGGATTCCGGCATCTAAACTTGTAGATAACTACGGTATACCAGAAGAGAACAGATATTGTACCTTCAGTGTCCTAAAAGGTTATTTTCAGACGTTAAGCTCTACTTTCTACTCTTATACTTGTTTCTTTTTTTTTTTTTTTTTTT